CGGTGACGGCGAGCGGGACCCCGGGGTCACCCGCGGCCCGGGGGGCTCACCCGTTCGCGGCTCCGGGGTCCCTCCGCCTCCCCGGCCGCCGGGAACGGGGCGCAGGAGCAGCAGCACATCCCGGAGCCGGTCCCGGTCCCGGTCCCGGTCCCGGTCCCGGTCCCCCCCCGAGCCCCGGCGCGACATCCGCCCCGCGCGGTTGTTCCCGCCCGCTTGTTTGTTTTCCTTTGATTTTCCCTCCGCTGCGCCGCTTTTGTGGGTTTTGCTTTTATTTCCCTCCGTTTTTCTATGATTTCTTTTCGATTTTTCCCCCCTCCCTTTCTTTGCTTGCTTTTATTTTTCTTCCATTCTTCGCTTTTTGCTTGCTCTCCCTTTATTCTTTTCGCCCTTTCCCCTCTATTTTTTCCCTTTCCTTCCCTTCACTTTCTTTCCTTTATCGTTCTGCTTTTCTTTCCTTTTCCACCCCGATTTTCTTCCCCCTTTTATCATTCCCCTTTTTTTTTACCTTCCCCCTTTTTTACCGTTTCTCCTTCTTTATGCTTATTTCCCCCTTTTTACTGCATTTTCCTTTTAAACTGATTTTTCCACCTTTACTGCTTTTCCCCCTGTTCATTTTCCCTTTATTACATCCCATATTAATTTTTTTTCTCCGCTTTTTCCCCTCACTTTTTTATCTCTATTTTTGGACCGTTTTTCTCCTTTTTCCCCGTGACTTTTCCCCCTCTTTCCCCGCTTTTCTCCCTCGCCGATTTCCGTGTTTTCCTCCCTGTTTTGGGCCCCCCCGCCCGCGAAGGAAACCGAACCGCGCCAGACAAAGGCAGGAGCCGCCGCCGCTTCCTGCCCGCCCCCCCCGGCCCGGGACCCCTCCCCGGTTTTTGGGGATCCCCCCCGGACAAAACCCTCAGAGGAGGTGGGGGGTTCACACCCGCCCCACCAGCGCCGCCCCCCAAAAAACCCCAAAAATCACCCTGGGAGAATTTGGGGGGGGGGGTCCCACATCCCCACTTCTGCAGCGGGGACGGGACCACCGAAAATTTGGGGGTTTGGCTGCACCCCGAGCGGGACACGGAGCCCTAAAAACCCGCGGAAAGGTGGGGGGGGAGCGGGCGCGCCCCTCCCGCACCCCCAAAACCCCCCAAAACAAAGACCCCCACCCCCCAAACCCCGCGCACAAACCGGGGTGCGGGACACGCGGCTGCTCCGAGCGCGGACCCACCCCACAGACACCCCCACCCCCCAAACCCCGCGCACAAACCGGGGTGCGGGACACGCGGCTGCTCCGAGCGCGGAATTTCGGGGTCCCCGCACGCCCGACCCCCCCTCACCTTCCCCCCGGCGCTGGGGGCGGAGGAAGTTTCAGTGCTTTAAATAGAGACGGGGGTTTTTGGGTTCCTGTTCCGGCCCGGGGCCCCTCCGCACCCGAAAACTCCGCGCCGGGCTCGGGAGGAGATTTTGGGGCGCCCTCAGAGCCGCCCCACCCTAAAAGCGGCACGGGGTGTGAAGGGGGGAACCCCCACCTCAGAACCCACAGAGCCCGGAGGGGGCTGAACCCCGAAACGGCGTCACGGAGCTGCCGGGGACGCGCCCTCTCCTTTTTGGGGGAATTTCCCCCCTTTTCGGGGACGGTCCCCCCGCTTTTTGGGGGACAGCCCCCCCCCACCTCTCGCCGCCCCGGCGGCGAACAAAGCCACGGCCGAGGCAACAAAGACCCCGCCGGGCCGGGCGGGCAGCACGGGGGGACCCCCGCCGTTCATCCCCCCAAAAAACACCACCCCCAGGCCCCCTGAACCCCCAAAATTGCCCCCTCGGAGGTTTGAAGCCCCCCCCCCCCGATGTCGGGGCGCAGATCTGGGCTGGCGGGACCCGCCTGAGCTGTTTTGGGGGGCTCCGGGGGGGTCGCTGCCAGGAGCCCCCCCAAAGGCAGGTGGGGATCCCCCCGGGAAGCCGCGGGGGTGGCGAGGAGAGGGGGGGGTTCCCCAAAAATCGCCTCCCGGACGGGGTCCCACTGCTTTTGGGGATCCCTTGGGGGGTTCACCCCGACCCCCCGACCCCCGCCCGGCCTCTCCCGGCCGTGGGTGGGGCGAAAACGCCTCGGACGAAACTTTCTTTAACCAAAAACCAAAAAAACCCATTTCCCCCCCCCGGGCGGCGCGGGGACCAGCAGCCACTTCCCCCTTGTACAAAATCACCCCAAAACCGCCCCCTCAGCCCCCCCAAACCCTCCCGAGCTCCCCAAACCCCATTCCGGGCTGGGGGCACCCCCAAAGCCCCCCGGCCGGACCAGCTCAGATCATCCAAGCGCGGTCGGGGCGGGGGGAGCGGCGGTTCTGGGGTCTCTCCCTGCCCCCCAAAATCCCCGTTTTGGGGTAAACTGAGGCCCGGGGAGGGGGGGGGGGCACAAAGCATCGCCCCCCGGCCCCCCAGCCCGGTTTTGCCCGAGCACGGCGGGCACACAAAGCCCCCCCGAGCCTCCCCGCCCCGCGTTTCGCCACGCCGGCATTGCCACACGCTCCCCCCCCGGCACAGCCCCGGTCACGGGGGTCGGAACCGCGGCCACGCTCCCGGAGCGGCCCGTGCCTCAGTTTCCCCATCCCCGAACTCCCCGCCGGGCTTTGTCTCCATGAGAAGCCATAAAATTGGGGTGGGAGGGAAGGGAAGGGGGGGGTCCCTAAAAATTTTTTCCCCCCGCCCGGCAGGAGGGGAAGGTGACTTCCTCATCCTCATCCTCGCGTCAGCCGAAGCTTCGGCCCCGGCGGAAAGGAGGATGAGGAAGAGTCGGGGCGAAGTTCGGGGCGGCCGAGAAGTTGTGGGGGGACACACGGGGGTCCCCGGGGGGGGTGCGGGCAGGGGGTCCTTGCACCGGCCAGCACCCCCCGCCGCACAATGGG